CAGAATGATAAAGTTGCGTGACAACATTACGCCCTTAACCCTTTATTTCTGGTTGTTTCGGTTTTGATCGCTTGTTTTTCTGCACGCACAACCTTTAGCTTCACTGTGTGGACAAACGTTTGAAATATCGGAGTTACACCAAGAAGAACTTGTAGAACTAGGGAACCTTTTAAAATGTGGTTTTCCTATTTTTGACGTTTGATTGTTGTGTTCTTTCAAACATGTTTTGGCCATTTTCAGAAAACTCAAATCACTCATGTTATTCTAAAACAGGTGTTACACAACCTCAGGTTTGCTTCTTATTGTTTAAGCCCTGCACTATGGAAATACAGCTTGACTGATATTGATGATTGGGGGCAGATGCTGATACTGATATCCGACGATAAAACATTTATATGTTACAATTTAAGCATAAACTTGATTTTAGCACATGGTGGAAAATCCTGCAGATGAAATGAAATGTATCTCGTTTGGTTTCTGGATTTGTGCCACGCTCAAGACAGAATTTGAAGAGTTGTTGCTTATGACTGAGGAGAGTTGAGCCTGGAACAACAATCATTATTTAAACACACGTCTTTGTCCAATGCCACACCACGTTTGCCTGTATGGAGCAAGAAGCAAATGGAATAGGTGATTGTGATTATTATGTGGATTATTTTTGATGTACAATATGATTTCATGCATCAGACAGACTTTAGAAGCTCAGCTGAGCTGGATGTGATCGGCCAAATATTTCTATAGAATCCAATTTCACAGTTGCTTTCAGGATAAACAAAGCCCCACCAGTTTGCACAAAACGAAGGACTTTTGAACGAGATTTAAATTCAAACTGGTTAATTTAGTGTGATTGTCCACCGGCCAGACAATATAATGCACAAGTCATTTGGTCCAAATATAACACAACAAAAATCAATAATCAAGAAATTACGGACGCCTGCAGAGCTAAGTTGTGAGTGACAGACACTTTTGGAGTCGACCCAACGAAAAGATTTGATGCCAAACGAAATTCAAACAACTCTGCTGTGTTGAACTTGGTTTTCCTTTCAGGCAGAAGTCCAGTATTGTTTGATTTGAGAACAGTTCAATGTTGTATTTTGTTCATCTCATTCAATATCTATTTCTATAATGAAGAGAAGAATCCATGCCAAGGAGAGGACAGAGATTTTCTATGACACAAATGATATACAATCATATACATTTATTAAAACAATCTTCTGTTGACTAGATTTTACAAAACCACACAATCAGTTAATCAGTAACTGATGATGTAATATGGTCTTGTGATTAATTAAATTCATAACTGAATAATTATAATAAAGGCAAACATGGGAGAAGTCTTACTACCAGTGAACACTAGCACACATCGAATGTGACTTTGATCATTGGATTTTGTTTCTGCCCTTTCAGCTGAAGAAAATAGTCCAAGCTGCGTCCAACTCTCACAACAGCAAATTAAAATCAAACACACTTGGCAGAATTGCTCGGCATCTTTTTTGCTTTTCCACTTGGCTCTCGACTCTGATAAATTGGGACATTTTCTCCACGACTGGTAAAATAATCATAATCTTACACAGCATGACTTCTCTCACGGATCATGTCCTGAAAAGGCACATTACCCTGTGCCTCTATAGGGCCATAAATGCAACACAGTGATGGGCTGTTACCACAGAAAGTGTGAATGTAATCCGTCACTGTACAACCAGCTGTTTGACAATCTGACGGTTGCAGAGCAGGGTGCGAGCTATAGCTTGGTTCGACATGTCCCCTGGTTTCTCTCATTTCTCTGGGAGATTACAGTATTATGTTCCTCATTTATATAATCCTGTCAATGGGATACAGCCCCTCTCTCTCTGCACTACCCCCAAAATGAGGTTCATAGTGACTGCAGCATGTAATCAGTTACAGTAGCTCAACAGCTTATAAGACTTATGCTGTGTTGCAAGAAGGTCATGGGCCTTATGCTGGAATTGATTATACTGTATGAGTATTGTGTCTTTCTCGAGGATTTTGACCCCTGCTGAAGAACCTCCAGCACGATGCCCACTTCATAGCTCCACATGCGGGAGTGCATGAAGGACATGGCTGCAGTGCTGCCTTGTTTATTGCACATGAGGTGCAGAAAACAAGAAGGAAACAGAAAGCTGTCAGGCTATAATCTGGAGTGAACTGAGGTCAAGGCAAATAGATCATGGCGAAGATTTTGGTTCTTGCACGATTATGCAAAAATTATTGGTCAAAATGCGATGAAACTTGGTGGAAGGATGGGGTATGGATCAGGGGAGAACCCATTCAATATTGGTGCGGCTCCAGATCAGGGGGTGGATCCAGGAGTTCTGCTTCTTTCATCGTGAGATTTGTCATTTTTATGACATTTTTTCACAGATTTCCCAGGAAATAATCTGCGGATCTTGATGAAAAAACTCATTTAGGGAACTGATATGTATGTGTGAGTGTTTGCAATTTCATACTGCTAGATGGAATTTAGGGGATGGGTGGGCCTTAAAGAAGGTTTGACATGTTCTGGTGTTCCAAAGGTTTTATTGTGCAATTTTTCCATGGATTTTTCAGACATCTCACATATGGCTCAAAATTAAATTTGACACAAAAATTTGCAAAATCTTGTCTTTGAAAAAGAAAATCACACAAACAACAGCTGTGGTCCTGAAAGAGTCGGCCCGTGGTACTGTTCTGAAAAAAGTATTTTATTAGCACATATATATTGTCTGATTTAGCAATTGTCTGCAATTTCGCAAGCAAGCTAACTTCCAGATGTTTTAGTTTCTAATCCTTGCTACCTAAGTATTGTGGAGTCTGTCTGTGAGAGGATAATGACCGGGCTCACTAGAAAAGTAGGTGAAAGGGACATAGATCGGCACTTTATAAAAAACAAAACCACGTATCGTGTGACATAACAAAAGAATAAAAAAGGACTGGTAATTGTATAGACAGTAATCTGAGCCAATTCATACTGACAATGTTTTATCTAAAAAAAACATTTTAATTACAGTAGTAAACCAGAAAAGAAGGGAGGTGTGGAAGAATGAAAAAGATGAGACATCTTGGTCCAGATTTTTTTGGGGAAAAAAAAGGAAATATAGGCTCCGACACAGAAGATATATCAAGATAGATACAGAGTTCAAGGGGGCTTTGCATTAATCTCACGTTGTAATGACAGTTTAAGGTTTTGGTATTCTGATGAATTCCAGGATTGGGCTTAAACTGCTTTCATTTTGTTTGCTGGTCTTTAATCTTCTAACCCTGCGTTCTTAATGAGAACTCAGAGCAGGTTTTTAATCTCGCATGAATGAGGCCGCGGATTATGGGCCTCTGACCTTGCCATGCCGCACAGCTGCTTCCTCCTCAAATCAAGTCTCTCGTCCTGTGTAGCTTGCAAGAGAGGATAATCTTACTTTTTGAGCTACAATGCTCCAAAATCTGAACTGTGCATAAAAGATGGAAACACCGGCAGCAACTTAATTTTTGTTGGGGGTGGGGGGGATTCAGAAACAGGTCCGACTCGAGATGCCTTGGTGCGGTTTGGTGTTTGAAGGCTTGGAACCGGAAGCTTTTCTGCAGATGTGTGTCATGGCAGCTTGGATAGATGATATCTGATGTCTGTGGCATTATCTTCTAATCCTTTTGACTTTTAGATGCAGCACTACTTGTAGAGTTAGGGTTGCAGTTTTTTGTGTGCATGTGAACTTCTCAAAGATGAGATTTATTAGTTGCTTCAGGGTTACCGATGTAATTGCCACTTGAGGATGGCGCTCTGAGGAAAAGGCAGGGAGATTGCTTTATATTTCATTGTCCCAAAGTGCTACAGAGAAATTTATAAAAACCTCTTGAGAAAATTGTTTTTCAACATTGAAGGGTCTTTTCCCTGACACGGTTGCTCTCTTTAAGTTTGTTAATCACTGGTTGTCTAAGATCTCCACTCTAACGAGAGAGAGCACTTAGACCAGCGTCAGTTATACCGTAGCTTTTTAACCCATACAACTTTAAACTCGCTGGTCATCAGCAGAACACAGAAAATAATCATAAGTAAAAATAATAATTAATCAGACAGTGATTGCCACCATGTTGTGGTGTTTTCCAGTAAATGATGGATATTCGAACAAGGTTTGAAGAATGTAAGTTGCTCTTCAAATCTTGGTTGTTTACAAGAATAAGCAGCGACATTTGCACCCAAAAATAACATTAAGAAACACCTGAAACAGAATGACAATAATTTTTCAAACTGATGAGGATGATGAGCACAAGGTCTTTGGAGAGCAGCCTGACACGTGTCACGTTAGCAGCTAATATGGAGCTTTTGTCAGAAAGGAACATCAGAAATTATTATTCTTTTTTTTTTTTGCATTTACCATGAACGTCCAACCTAAACCGCTGTTGCGGTGACGAACAATAACTGTGAAACAAATACTTTCTCAGGAGTCTCACTGTACTTTCCTTGTCCGACAGCGTATGGTTACTATAGATAATGGTTTGATGGCGACCGAAGAGCTGCTGCTTTGTGCTCAATCAGCATCTTTCTAAACCTGAATGTGCAGATTTGCAGATTAAAAAATGAGTTACTTCCTCTGCGGACTACAGGTCCGAACTAAAAGCTGAATTAATGATGCAGCAGGTTACTCATACAAGTTTATTCCGATGAGTTCCATGTCAAGTGAAAACATCTATAGATCTAGTGTTAAACTGACTGATGTGCAACTGTTGAATTTGAACTGAACAGCTTCCTGTTCCTCATTTAGTCCCAACTTCCCTAACTTTTTTCTCCATCTTCTCAGATTTGTTGATTGTGTCATCACTCAAAGTTTAAACAAAGTAAAGAATTAAACTTCCATGAATATTTCTTTATTACGTTTTAATATTCTATTCGATCAAGGATGAACAGAGCTGGCAAGGCAGATGCAGTTGCACTGACATCTACTGTCCAAATTGTGGTACTTCACCTCGTTTGAGTGGACTATATTGTTGCCTCTCAGAAATGAAACGTTGAATGGTAACAAAATGCTGTTTATTTGAAAGTATATGTGAAAGCATTTCTCAAAAAATACTCATACATGCAGACAGAAGTAGACATAAGAGAATGCAGGCTTTGGGTTAATGTGCAACAGTCCTCCAGACAAGAACTAACAAAAACTACCTTTATCTTTCTCTTTTCATATTATACTGCATAAGGCACATTTTTGCATCAAATACCATATTTAAGGTTCCGTTACAAAACTCTGCAACCATTCTATGAATACTGGAGTAAGCTGACAGCTATTCATTTAAACTATACATATTATATTAGCTGTACCGTTTCCTTCAGATTTACGGTAACAAAAGTTCTGTTAGTGCTTTGCATATTAACCGGATGAATAAAACAGTATGTGTGCCAGACCAATTAACTGAGAAACATCTCAAGTCTGCGTGGGTATGAGGAGGGGAGTAGGGTGGGGTTGTGCAAAGAGAATTATTTTCGCATTTAAAACACAGTCAGGTTATGGGTGTCCCTGAGAAACTTAATTAATTAGTCCTGCTAATTTGCTACATCTTGGGAACTACCTGAAAATTGCCTGCACCTTCGAAACGGTGATAAACACTGGGTTTTGTGTGAATTGCATATTAGAAATACAGCAACTGAACGTGACACTTATGCATGTCGAAAAGTTCTTCAGTGAAATACACATGAAAGTGTGTCTTTCCCAAAAGAGGATAACAGTATATACTGAAAGTTCACCTCCTGCCTGTGGCCTTGCATGATCACAATCAACAGAGGGATTTGAGTCCAATTACAAGCTGCTGTTCATGTCCAGACAAGCGTTGAGAAAGGATGCAGGAACAGGACAGCTCTGCGGAGAGCCTGCCTCCTTTGTGTGAGTACCAACCTCTGGTGCAGTAGTTTGAACTGAGTCTGCAGGCGACCCGTCCTGGTCACACTCTGCGGAGCAACTTACCATTTCGATAGTGATGTGGGACTCCTCGTCCTTGACCAAGTGACTCGGAGAGGGGACGGGGAAGTCTGGTGAGGAGAGCTTGGTAAGAAGCTGCAAGTGGTCCTGATCGGAACCAGACTCGATGCTGACACTTTTACACAACCCGCACAGACTCTGACGCATCTCCTCCAGGTTTTGCGCCAGCTCAGTTTGCTCCTGCAGCAGCAGCTCTTTCTCACTTTTCTGTGGAGAGGACAACAATGAAGTAGCCGTCACTTCCTCTACATCTTTTGTTTTGCACAAAAATAATTAAAACTCAATGTCACAAATCACTTATCACTTTAGAGACAGTGAATTCAGAAATATTTTAGACACTGGACATTGTAAAGCTAACTTACTAATCGTTTGATTTCACATTCTAGATGTTGTATGCTGTCTATTTTTCGCTTTCGGCAACGTTGTGCCGCCACGCGGTTTTTGCTTCGTCGACGGACATCATGGACAAACTCCAGCTGATCTGGAGTCAGGTGATGGTTTCTCAGAAGCTGCTGGAAGGCACTCCGGCTCAGTGCTGAGATCTGCTCTACTGGGAATGGGAGCTGAATCTGTAGAGAACAGGTTTAAGATAAATTCATTATACTAAATATCTATAACTATTAGCAATAACACACTAGTTGCGTATTGCAATGACCTCTGCAGCTCTTTTGTTGTTGGCCTCGGTGTCCCCATCTGTGTCCAGGTCTGAGTCGTCCCCAGAGTTGATTGAGGAGGACATGCACGGGCTCTCCTCTGTCTGTGACAAACTGTCAGTGCGTGGAGCGAGGTCATCACCTGTCCCAAGGTCCCTGAGGAAAGGGCAGTCTCCTGCACTGGAGCTCAAGTCCAGCTGCTTAAGCCAATGAAAGTCTGATGCTTTTGCTAAATTGTTTTGGTCCATGGGATCCAGGGGGAGGGGTTGACCTTGAGACGGGCATAGGTCAGACCAGAATCCTTTTGCCAGATGTTCAGCCACCTCCCTCTCCACACTGCTCCTCTCCCCAAATCCCTCCTCGTGGTTTAAAGCAGTTAGTGCCGGGTCTGAGAGATCACCTGTCAATCTCTGTTCAAGGCCAACCTCACTCGGCTCTAATAACCCACTGCAATTTTCTACCCCTGATGTGTTGATTGGGCACAAACTGGGGTTACAGCTGGTTTCAGCACCGAGTGTCTCAACAGTCTGTTTAACATCTCTGCCTGCTGGCTCACTGAGCTCTGGTGGATCCACATGCCCAGGGGTTGACAGCTCACAGGGTAAGCCACAGTCTGCCAAACTGAACTCACTTTGATTACACACGTCTCCTATCTCTAAAATGTCTCTTTCACAAAACTGAGACGGATGATCTGCTTTGTCGGAGTCTGGGCATGGCAAAGACAACATGGGGCACACTCCATTTGCTGTCAACTCCAGAGATAAGGGGGCCATTTGTGGCCCGCAGTTCTCCAGACAGAGGTTTTCTTCCCCGTTATTCGTCTGACTCTGTGCTGTCTGAGGACACTGTGATGGGAAGACTGATTGCTCATCTCCTTCTGAAGGCACCGAGCTGTGAGGCTCAAATGATTTTGGTTGGCTGCTCTCTACACAGGAGCCAAAACTGGTGCTGGGATCCCGGCTCTTACAGCAGGCTCGACGGCTGACCTCCTCTGAGGTCCTTTTGCCTTCAGAAAACTTTGGGATGAGGAAATCAAAGCACGCTGACTCCAAGTCTTGAAATCCTAAAAACTCAGCACTGCTGTGAATGGCATGAATGTTTTCTTTGGTGAAGAGCAGCTTTGATGTGTAGGCAAATTGGAGCAGAGGTTCAAACCCCTCCACGGTCACCTGTGGACAAAAGATGTACGGCAAATATTTTAAGCCATTAAAAACCATGCAAGTATAAACAGCTCAGCTCAAAAAGTCGCAAAGACGATTTCACTTGCAACTGGCTGTATAAAACTAATCATTCTTTAGGGGGCTGACAGATGTTCACAATGTCACATACATAGTTATGTATGTATGTGCAGGAGGTAAATCTGACACAAACAAATGTAGCAGCGTCCAGAAGCCATTTTTACCACAGAGTCTGGTGGCTGCTCCTGCACCCTGCATATATAGATATTATATCTTGCTAAATGTCGACATTTTAAATGTATTGGTTTCATGAGAAAGTCCTGTCAAGTACAATCAGCCTTATTTCCTACTCCAACAAATCAGATGACTTATGGATTTGAAATAGAGGAACTGATGCCGACACACATCCGTGAAACAGTTACTAACAATGAATTATAGCACAGACTGCGAAACGTTTGAAGTGTTGTTTCTTTTTCCAAAGTTAAGACACCGACCTCTTCAGGCAAAGTGATGATGGGATTCTGTCTGATGACACTGGTGACTCGGCTGTGAAAGTATTCACTGCAGGAGGCCAAGACGGAGCAGTGGGCCCGAAAACTCCTGTCCTCCACCACCACCGTCACGTCACACAGGACATCCTGCTGCCTCTGGTCGTTCAGACACGAGAGAACGTGGGCGCTGTGCACTGCCGACTGAAACGTGAACGCTGACATGCGAGGAGCTTGGAGCGACATTGTTCTTACAAGCTCAGCCTGGGTCAGACAATACACAACAGTCAGAATAAACCACAATGTTAAATTCGTCTAAAAGTTGTCAAGATGTATCTGCAAACAATTCTGATTAACTTATTTTTTGGAACAAACCATAGCTCTAGATAAACAGGACACACCTGTCTACTGCTTGTTATATTAATATTTTAAAAAACAATGGTTTAAAGTCAATGGGTCACATGACATGGAAGCTATTGAAATTCTATATTTTTTTCAGTAGTTTCCATTTCGTAGTAGGAATATTCAAATAAAATAGGAAAATGATTTACTTAATAAAATAATAGTAAAGTGGTTTGTATTTACAACAATACAATTCTTAGTAACAATACAATTTATTATACAATTCAGCATTTAAGACACAAAAACATACATACAGGCATATGTTTTAGTAACGTAGGACACTCAAAAAGAGGTATATACTTGTCTGTAGCAATAACAGCGGATATGATTTTTAGTGACCTCATGGTTACATGATGTGGTAAAGATGAAAAACTAAATCAGATTTTTAAAATATTAACATTAACACAAAATATCAAATAGAAAATGGGTCCGCCCAGTGTAAAGTAGGGTTATAATACAACTTCACATTACTTTTAGGCTACAGTAAAATATGATTCTTTAAATATCAGTACTGGTAAAATATTACAATCTACTAACTCAGCATGTTTGTGTCAGTGGGTCACATGAGATGGAAGCTAATGAAAACGATCTACTCTTCTTTATTCAGTGAAAACCCTGTGATGCATGAAACTACTTTCTTAAAGTTTGATACCACTTCAGGATTCGCGTCAACACAACGATCAGCATTAGCTCGCAACAGAACTGATGAGTCACTGTAGCCTGGATGAGTTTAATTTCCAACTTGGTCAAGTTTAAAATGCTGACTCATGTTAAGCTCAGCTGGGCCTGGTGGAGAGGCGTGACGTTCCGATATGAGACAGTAAATAAAGACGGGTATCAGCGACACATTCAGAAAGGTTACTGGAGATGATCAGGTGACGTTCGACACGTTTTATCCGAGGGGGGAAGCTTGAGCTAGGCCGGACCGTTAGCTACGAGCACACGGCGCGAGCTTCCTGTCGTCGACTAGAAGTGAAGCAACTTTACAGATAACAGTTTAAAAAGGCCAAATGCTCACTGACCTGCCATGTCAGCCGGACTTTACCGCCACTTGGTAGAAGCGCGTGAAGATGATCATCCGGAATCTAAGCGTTCCTCTGGTCATGTGACAGCCCGGACCAGGAAACGCTGCACTTACTGCGCATGCTCAGTGGCACAGGCCTCAGAGGGCCACAATATTTTATATATTATATATTACAACTATATTTTTATGAAGTCTATAGCCACAAGATAAGAAAGTAAACATGCCTCATTTGTAAGCTTTTAATTACATGACATTTATTTTTCCTTTTAAAAAAATGGCATATAAATATTATCCTTTAGACAAATCCTTCTCCTCTTGCTTCCTGAAACTGAAATCCATCATCTGTTCACAGTCCATCTTGACTTGCATGTCGCTCATTGTCCTTTTTCAATAGTCGTCGTGAGAAACAGAGCAGCTGTCCCAATGTTCGATTCCCGGGACACTGCACGACACTGCTGGGGAGGAAAAATGTCAACACATGTCAAATGTGTTCCGAGTTAGTTTGATTTCATCACTGCCCAGTTTGGGTCGAGAGCAAAATGAGGAACATCCACTTTTAGAACAGCTCTGGTTCAGGCAGAAAATTCCACAGTTCATTTTCTCCACTGACTTTTCAGAAAATCCTCAATTAAGAGTTTTAAAGGTCCAGTGTGTAAGATCTGGGTAAAGGAATTTTTGGGCAGAAATTGAATATAAAACAATCCTAGTTTTTCAATGGTGTGTTTCATCTAAATTGTATAAATTGTTGTTTTCTTTATCATAGAGTGGGCCCTTTAAATCTAAAAAATTTATATTTACATGGAGGAGGGGGTCCTCTCTGCAGAATCCGCCATGTTTTTTTTCTGTCGTCCAAACAGGACAAACTAAAACCGTTTGAGTTTTCATGACAACTGAAGTTCACCACATGTTCTCCTTCATGTTGGCAGGGTGAGATGAGGAGTATTAAGCTGCAACATGACACTTCACCTCTGGATGTCACTAAATTCTATACACTGAGCCTTTAGGTCTGGAAATGAATCGTGACCATAAAATACCTGATTCTGAGCAAAATAAAATGATTGAAATACGAAAAAAACAAGGATGCACTGAGTAAAGGAACCACGCATCCCAGAAACCATTGCTATTTTGTATTTACATTTTCTTGGCAACAGCTGGTTCCACCAATCGGGGATGTTGCCATCAGACCTGAGGATTGTGGGTAGTGAAGTATTTCTTCTTGATATAGCAAATAAAACACAGTTAATATCATACGTACTTGAGGCTAATACATGAGCATATAACATATTTTTCACAATCTCAAACCGTGGTAAGTCTACACTTGATGGTTACAATATTATGGTTCATAATCAAACAGTATTCGGGAAATTAAATGGGATTTTTACTTCCGGAACCAGAACCGTTGAGCTCTATTGGTCATCTGTGGAAACTGGAGCAGCAGCAGCAGAATTGGCTTTTTTTTTAGATTTCCTGAGTAGAGAGGCACGGTTTGATCAGAGGATCCTTTCGTAGAAGAGGAGGTAGGCTTGGCAACTCTGCACTTTACTCTCGCTCACAGGCTGAACACTTGTGTCGCTGATATGGAACCAGGATCCTGTGGGTGGCTCCACATCTCCTGCAGAGAAGCAACGAGTCAGTGGACGGATGTGTATAAAATAACAAGCAAATTGTTTGTCCGTTTGTTGTCACACCTACCATCTGCTGCAAATCCATTGGATGTGGGTTTAGGGCCATCAGGTCGTACTTTCACGTAGGCTGTGTAATGCCCGGACCTCATTGTTCCACTGTGCTCTACGATACCATATAAACTATACAGAATCTGAGTATCCCCTTCCATCACGTTCTGTATGGAAACAACTTTTTGTTAGTGCTCTAAAATACAAGAAAGATACAATTATACAAATGTCAATTTGAGTATTTGTGTACAATAAAAGCCATTCACTCCTATATTTACCTTGCATTTGACCACACAGAAAGACGCTAAATCCAATATTAGAGGGAATTGGACATGTCGGTTCACCTTACAAATACTGTGTCCACTCTACAGGAAAACAAAAGCGGTTAAAAATCGCATAAATGAGTGATTCAGTGCCTTACAAAAGACTAAATTAAACTAAAATAACAAGTGAATCCAAGGCATCAAAATGCAAAACATTTTCTTCACCCGTCTTACCTGTTTAAATCTCTTCATGTGAAGGGTAAGTACTGGTGGGGGAGAAGATATCAGCATTTGCTTCAAGGCGTCGGTGTACACATTATTCTTGGATCCTTAACAAAGCACACATAAAGAAAACAGATTTTTTAATATCTTGAAATGCAAAAGGGAGAAGAAGTGGCAGCACAATACACTAAAAGAAAAGGATACACAATTTGAACTGGTGGATTTGTGATAATGCACTGGCCCACATCCACAAGTTTACGAGTTTGTACAATATCAAGGATTTAAAAGCATCGACAATACGTCACATGTGTTCATGAGAGAAATTCCACATACCTCCAGCGTTGTCTTTGTTCCCCCGTTGTTTAGTGCAGGTGACACACAGAAGGCTGTTGTTCTGCGTGAGGGTTTCCACTTCTGTGAACTGAAACAGGCATGACCGCACCGAACAGTCCGTCTTCTCGGGGGACGTTCTGGAAGCCAGCGTGTGGAAGGCCAGCTCTGGGTCCTGGTTTACAACAGTGTACTCTCTACCTTCCAGTGGCTCATCTTCAGCCTCCATGCTTTGTTCCGCAGCATCCGAGTCCTGTATGAAGGCCTCATCGAGAGTTACTTTCTCCATTTCATTCACCAGCGCAGTATCTTCCTCTGCCTCTTGTGCCGTGTCAGATATGTTGCCTTCATCCAGGACGCCGTCCTTTGAGTCCTGGTTCTTCGATAAGACTGTAAACCGGTTGCTGACAGATGAAGTAGCTGATGAGTCAGTTTCGGAATCCTCGCCCTCCTCTTGTTTTTCATTCTCAGCCTGGACTGTGTCATGGTCCTGTGCACCCAGGTCAGCGGCAGTGATTTGTGCAGGGTCTCCCTCACTCGGCGGGGCTTCTTCTTCTTCGTGTGTCTCAGTGTCAACATTTTTCCCTTCATCTGCACCTGCAGAAGGATCCGTGGGTTGGTTCTCTGCAAGGCTCGGAGAAGGGAGGTTATCTAAAGTGACTCTGCCCTCAAACTTCTGCTGCCTCTTTTGCTGCTGTAATCAAAGACAAGGTTGTTCAGTTCATTCTGCGCAATGTTTCCATCCATCACGTGGACGCCAGATCCATTTGCGCACATTCACTGACGTACCTTAGCTTGCTTCTTTGCCTGCTTCTTGGCCTTCTTCTGATGGTACTTGCTACCACCCCCGCCGGTAACGTTATCGTCTCCGTTGGTCAGAGCGGGGCTGACTCCGTCATCCTGGCTCAACTCACTGGTCTTTTGAAAGACTTTTTTCAGGTTCTTCTTTTTAAATGCCTGTAAGATGTAGTCATAATGACGCACATGCATTTAACTCGCATATAATATGGAAAACAAACACACTGACTACTAAGGGTCTTACCTCGTCAGAAATGGGAAGAGAAAGATCCAAAAACATTTCTGTTACTACAGAAACCTGCAGGTGCAAAGTAGTGGCTATTAGGCTTCACACTGACACAACACTGACAAGTTATCATAAAGGTTTTCAACAGTACATACCGTTTTACACTGCTGACACATTATGGTACTGGTCAACTCCCCACCAAAAACGTGGTCGACGAAATTTTGTGGAAACCCATTTTTCTCGTACTCTGAAATCAGAACTTCACTGTCAGAGCGCCACATTTAATTATAAGGTGAACTAAAACATTCTATGCTAGGATGCAACACGTTTCTCACTTAACAGCAACCACAATATGTTTATTCTAAATCCCAGTGACTTACCTTTAACTAAGGTTTTCAGCTGCTCATCATCGGTGCTTTTCTTCGATTGTTTGAATGCCTCCACGATCCCTGTGCTTACTCTCTGCAGAGGCAGACCATGTTTGAATGTCAAGTATAAAAACACAAACCATTTGATAAATCACAAATTCACAGAATATCAACAATTTCTGCCTCTTTACACTAATAAATCCTCCACTCGTGAAAATTACACAAACTATCAGGGGAGGCTAAATCTTTAACATCTTTCAATCTGAAGGAAAAAGAAATCTGGCAACATATCTTTGCATTTCATGAATAATTCAATGTGCTAAATTTGTGATTAAGTTTAGAGTCTCAATGAATTACTGCCAATAAGCTAGAATAAGCGATGTAGATTTATTACAAGGTTTTCACTGCCGTACAGTTCCACAGTCAAATCAACACACATGGACAGCAACAGTGTAAAACATTTGTGATATATGCTCTAAACTGGATGTATATACTGTACTTTATGCTCCTCAGCTCGCATCCCATCCAGAAGGTAGCGCAGCAGCTCCTGGCTGTCTTGCTGCTGGAACCCTTTGAATCTGGGAGCCCTGCAGGAAAGAGACGAGATGATGAATGACACTTGATGCAGCGATGACAGGAAGAAACTTCTCAGCACATCCAAGTTCCACCTCAATCTGTCGTCACGCTCACTTTTTACAAACTTGAGTGAATAACTCCTGCGGGGTCACCACACCCCTCTTGGATTCCTGGATCTCATTAAGTAGTCGACACATAGCCAGAGTCAGGGATCCCGGCTGAGCCAACTGTACCGTGACAGGCTCCTGCAATCATAATAAGCTTTTAAGTAACAAAAGCTGTATATTAGGAACGATACAGCTACTGTTTCAACAGTTCAAAACAAACATTTGAAGAATACACACCAGATCTGAGGAGGCACCGGGTGTAATGTCAAGACTCATTTTCTCTTCTTCCACTTTGTTGAGTGTCTGTCTCAAAAGCGATGTTTGAGAGAGATTCTGAAAAAGACAATGACAAAATGAATAATGACTCCAGAACACCTCTCACTTTAAACCAGTACCGGCAGCCCAATCCTACCTGAATGACGGCATTAAAGAAGCACGTATTTCCCAGGTTGCTCAGCCCCTTTACTGAAACACCACCTTTGTCTTCAGTTGTGCTGGACTTTTTCCCAACACTCTCCTTCTTGGTGTTTTTCTTCTGATGCTGCTTGTTTTCTTTGTCCTCTGTGTCCTCACTTTCCACTGCTGTGACAGTGTCTGTCTGCTGCTGTACTTCCAACAAGATGTCTTCCTCTTTCACTCCTAAATAACAAAACGTGTCAAAGTGGACATTCAAATAAGATGTTTTCATTAAAAAAAACGTCAAGAGTGATCATACACTTCTCACTAGTACTTACTTTTCTGTGGTCTCTTTAGGGGTTCTGCAGAAGTTTGCTTTTGTAGGTTGGTCACCAGCTGAGACAAATGCCCAGTTCTGGAGTACTGCACTTCGTCGTCGCATATATAACACCTGCAGGGTTGACAGCACATGAGAAAAGGAGCATTTAGTTTTCATTTCAAACAATATCCAGTAGTTCAGTAAGTAAATCAGACCACTGCTGTTTTTATAGAGCTGGAGATTAAATACGATTTAAATCCAACACACATATTCTGAAAATATGATCGCTTGTCATATGGTTTATTTTAGAATTTTTCTATATCTACAATATTTCGTTTTCTGACTAATTACATTTTATAGAAGAATAATAAGATAAAATGCAGTTCCTTCTCTGTGGCAAAAGTTTCTGTACTTTCATTGTAGGCCACATTTTGAATCGACCGCACATAGACGTTTGGAAACACCAGCACTCTTCTGAGAGTTGGAAGCCGAGCCAAACTGAGCGACCTGGCAAGAAGGGCCTTTGTCAGGGGGGGGTGACAAACAACCAGTCAATCTGACAGAGCTACAGACGTTCTCTTAAGAAAGTCTACTTGTATTGGGCCAGATTGCTCATCACCCGGGTAAAACAACTGAGAAGCCTGGTGGTGGCAGCATCATGCCACAAAGGTTATTTTCAGTGGTAGGGACAGACTTGAAGAAAACCTGCTCCAGAGTTCACCTTTCAGCATTATACTCATCCAAAGCAAGTCTCTGACCATCCTGTATGACCAAAGCCCTGACTTAAACCCAACAGAACATCTGTGGAGTGACCTAAAGACTAAAGACAGACTTACCCAAAAACATCTGTGCTGTAATTCCCTGCCAAAGGGGCTTCTACAAATACAAAGTACTAAACTGTGGGCCAAAATACTTAAAGGTTCAGTGTGTAGATTTTATCTAGAGGTGAAGTGTCATGTTGCAGCTGAAAACCCCTCACCTCACCCTCCCCTTCCCAACATGAGAGAGAACCTGTGGTGAACTTCAGTTGTCATGAAAACTCAAAAGGTTTTAGTTTGTCCTGTTTGGACGACAGTAAACAAGAAAACAACAATTCATACAATTTAGATGAAACACACCAGTGAAAACATCAATAGGATTATTATATATTCAATTTCTGCCCAAAAATTCCTTTCACATAAATCTTACACACTGAACCTTGAACAGATATTTTATTATTATTTACCGAAACTTCTATGAGTAGGCTTCCACTCTCATTATGGGTCAATTTAATTCATTCGTGATTTCTTCTCCATCATAATACTGCGTGAAAGAAGAACTATTTCCTGAAGCCCCTGTGCGCCCCCATGAATCACACATCACAGCAACATACTGACCACACGCTCCAGTTGTCCAGGCTGACCACCAAGCAATGTGGATCTGACCGAGGAGTCTCATAGTGTTTGATGGCGTGCTGGTTCTCAGAGTGTCGCCCACAGCCCTGGTAGAGAAGAGGATGATGGTAGTTTAGGTAGAAAAATTAATATCTAACATCTGAAGAGTGAACAGGTTGAGTTAACTCACTCTGTGGCCGCATTTCAAACACATCCAAACGGCTGCGGTTTCATTTTCCTCTTCAGGCTCCTGTGGCTGGTTAATGTCAGTGTTTTCTTTATTTTCTTCGTGCTTACAATCCTGGCAACTGGTCCAATCGGAACTACCTGAAAGCTTCTTGAGAAGAGTTTGGTCTGATCCTTTCTTGATGTGCCTGCAGTTTGGACCTGCTCACAACAGTCAAACAGGAGGAGAGAAAGTCAGCCTGTTACATGTTGTCCAACACCAGGAAGATGAAGGTGTATTTACCTGTCAGGTCGATGTCGTCGTCCTCTCTGGAGCTTTTGTCCTTCGCCCGTTTCTTTCCCATTGTCCCCTGAACACAATCCACACATACATCAATTTAAAAAAAAAAATCACACAGCAGCCACACGAGCTAACGCTTGATTCGGCTAATCAGGCTGCAACCCAGCTTTAGCACCGGTCCTGTTTCCCAGGAAACCACCAGACATTCAAACATTGAACCCACAGTGACCAACGCCGCGGTCCGGTCAACTTACTGTCACAGCCGGAGCCGCAAAACCCTGCACGATCGCCGGTTCCGTTAACTTTGCGAGGATGGATTCTCTGACACGAACATACTTTGACTCGGTTTGTCGATGACAGCGATCTAACGGGAGGAAAGGGAATCCACAACGTTTTACAGTGACACAAACAGAATCTCCCCTCACTGATCCCGGAGGAAAAACCCCAGCTGACACATGCAGGCAACGGAAGTGGGACGGTTCCACTGTTTTTACCGTCCGGTACGCACGTTTCCTGTGTGCGTCGTTTGGATGGTTCCGAGTTGAAACACGTTTAGATCGCTAGCTAGTGTAACGTGGACGTAGCAGAACTGCTGTGAAGTTGAATCCGATTCATTTCTAATCACAGGTTATATAAATCTTCCATTGTCTTCTCAGACCTGACAACACGATCGATAGTGAGGTAAATCTTAATTGTCTTTTGTCAGTGTTGATTTATTTGTTGTTAGCTGTCATTAGTTTGTCTGCTAGTATTTATTAGTTTGTTTTCATGCTTTGGTTTGGTTTTTGGTTTATGAGTTTGTTTGCTAGCAATTCTTAATTTAGTTGCTAGCATGCATTAGTTTGGTGTGCTAGCATTTATTACTCAGTTTGGTTTGTTTGCTAACATTTCCTAGTTTGTTAGCATTTATTATTTTGTTTGCATGTTTTAGTTTGGTTACTAGCATTTGGTAGTTTTTTTGCATGCATTAGTTTGTTTGTATTTATTAGTTTATTTGCTTGTTTTCATGCATTGGTTTGGTTGCTTGCATGTATTTGTTTGTTTGTATATATTGGTTGGTTTGCTAGTTCAATCTTATGCAGCGTGTTGTTCATTTAAGCACAACATCCCTAACTGTGGGCAAACCATGTGTTTGATTGCTTTATCTTTAAATGCATTGTAGCAGTGGAGGTGGTAGCTCTCGCTCGCCTCCATCAACATGCTGTACGTGGAGTGGGCTGAGGCTCAGCTCGCAGAGATCGAGCTGCTGACCAGCATGTTTCCCACCATGGAGGAGCTGGAGCTCACAGACCAGCTGGCAGCGGCTGAGCTCAGGGACTTTGTGGAGGGGTCGGCCTCAGCACACAGCCCTCCTGCGCTCAGACCCCAGTTTCTCATCAAACAGAGGCTGGACACTGCAAACACGGGCATGGTAACCTTACCACACTGTCATGGTTCGTGACTGAGAATCATCTATGTCGGGATATATGATCATTTTCTTTTCCTTGCTCCTTTCAGACAGATGTCACTCTGTCCTGTGCTTATCCATCTGAATATCCCAGTGTGTTACCAGAGATAACAGTCCGGTAAGAAGATATCATCTTGTAGATTGCAGATAATTGTACATTTTGAAAGCTGAATCTTGCAAAACAGCAACATGAGATAAGATGAGATAATCCTTTATTGGTTCCCAGGGGTGGTATTCAGGTATTACAGCTACCCAAGTACGAGAGAGAGAAATATTTACATCTAGGCAATTCAAGTCAGATTTATTTACATGTCTTACTAAAACAATATGAGTCAAAGTACTTTACCATCAAGGCAAAGGGAGACTAATAGAAGTCTTCATAAAACTAATATGTAGCGAACTGGGAAAATCTAAATCAGTGCAAGAGAATGAAAGAAAGGACATAAGGAAACAGAAGAGTGTGGCTCAAAGTTTTTTGAAATGTCAAGTTAATTCCATCAATTGTTCTTTCTGAGAAAGTGCCACAAAAGCAAGATTCTCTTTAAAATGATAGATTGCAAAACTGGATTGGTCTTTCTGGTTCATGATGCTTTTAGTATGATGATCATCAGTCAGAGAGAGTTTTAAGCATTTTAATCTCTCGACAAGCCTATAAAAAGGCCTATCCCTGTCTTGTCTTTTGTTTGGTTTAGTTTGGTATTTCACTGTGTTGTTTTATTTTAGAATAAATCATCTTATTTAGTCATTTTAATATGCCAATTTCTTAAAAATGTTTTGTATAACTAAATCTGTACTTGCTCACAAAAATTCAATTTCAATTCAATTTTATTTATATAGCGCCAATTCATAATTTACATTATCTCAAGGCACTTTACATTTAAAGGTCAAGACCTTAAAACAATATTAACATAGAGAAACCCAACAGTTCCCACAATGAGCAAGCACAGGCGACTGTGGAGAGGAAAAACTCCCTCATTAACAGGGAGAAACCTCTGGCAGAACCAGGCTCAATGTGGGCGGTCATCTGCCTCGACCGGTTGGGGTGAGGAAAGAAAAGTAAGGGGGGAGGAAAGGAGAGATGGGTGGAAAGCGGGGGAGAGAAGAGAGATGAGGTGGAGAGAGAGAGACCGGTAACAATTTGGCACCATCAAAATCAAGGCTAACCATAACAATAACAATGTATAGATCTACAACATGACTAGATATATTAATGAATTGCTGAGTTCTTGTAATAAATGCAGACAATGGTGATGGTGGTCGTTGTGGTCCTGTAGTCCCGGTGCCGGAGTTATCTGAAACGAGATAGAGAGAAGAGCCAGAGGGACTATGGGAGGACAAAGTGACACTTTGACATGATGACATGTTAAAACTAATAAATAAATAAATAAATGAGTGTGGGGGGGCAGAGAGACAGAGAGACAGAGGGAAGTGAAGAAGTGCTCAGTGCATGATGGGCGTTCCCCCAGCAGTCTAAACCTATAGCAGCACAACTAAGGGATGGTTCAGGACTCACCTGATCCATCCCTAACTATAGGCTTTGTCAAAAAGGAACGTTTTTAGTTTTACTTTAAATGCTGAGACAGTGTCTGCCTCCCGAACCCAGAGTGGGAGCTGGTTCCACAGGAGAGGAGCCTGATAGCTAAATGTTCTACCTCCTGCTCTACTCTTACAGACTCTTGGAACCACTAGAGAGCCTGTGTTTTGGGAACGAAGTGACAACTGGTTTGGAGGCAGCTTATGTGAAGACTAAAAATCTCCAGTGCAAAAAAGAAGCCAAGGATGACTGTGCCATTATTGTAGTCTAATGTGTAAATGAAATGATTTAAAGCGGCATAGATTAGCAACCATCTATGCAGAGGAATGTGATTATAGGTCATTTTCTGCTGTTATGGCATTATTGGAGGTAAAGAAAGCTGCTGTATGTGACTACTTTATGTTTTTAATCAACAAATTTGACACACATGTTTTTTAGAAAAACCCCATAGAAAAGCTGCTAAAGGATATATCAATGTATCAACCTCTATCAATGACAAAAGTAGCCTTGGAGGATAAATCACAGGATCGTCTGCTGTCCGCTTTAATCAGGTGGCCCATAACTGAGACAAACAACCCCATCACGTTGTCACAGTAAAAATGAGTAAACCCGTGGGCTTGAGAAGAAATGTTGGAGCGAGCAAGATGCGTGTATCACAATGCAAAGTACTGCAGCAGCATTAAAAGAGAAATATATTTCACTGAGAATAATCATTTATTTAGAAAACTAACAAGATAATTTTCTGTTGTTTCGTAATACAGATGTTATCTTCCTCAAAATGTCCATGAGAGTTTTTTGGTCTCAAGGACGGGATTGTCTCTGAATTCTTCTTATTTGTGCTGTAGGTGTGCTGGTCTCAGTAGGGCCCAGCAGACGCAGCTCCACGCAGCTCTCAATGCGTACCTCATGGAAAACTGCCTGGGGGAAGTGTGTGTGCTCTCTGCAGTGGACTGGGTGAAAGACAACCTGCCGCTCTTCATTAGTAAGAGTTTAACGGCAGCAACAGCCCCAAAGAAAGAGTCGTCTCCACAGGCTGAGGAAGTGTTCACCCGTCTGTGGATCTACAGCCACCACATCTACAACAAGACAAAGAGGAAGAGCATCCTGGAGTGGTCCAAGGAACTCGGCCTGTCGGGATTTAGCATGCCTGGGAAGCCTGGAATTGTGTGTGTGGAAGGTCCTCAGTCGGCCTGTGAGGAGTTCTGGTCCAGGTACCTTCAGTGATGTTATTTTTAGCCTCTGACGTTGCATCCAAAAGCTTTGCTGAGGTGTGAGGTTTATAATTTTTCTAATCTTTTTTTATTTTTTTCCACATTTTAGAGTGAAGGTTCTGACATGGAAGAAGATCATGATTCGACATAGGGAGGATATTCCCCTCGATCGTCAGTGCAAGGACAGCAGGACTGTGGAAGGTGTCGAATCCTTGCGCAAATTCACAGGCTTTGAAGAGGCAATGTTTGACCCCCATGGGAACAGAGGCAATCACATGGACCTTGGGCAACTCTACCAGTTCTTAAACGAGAAAGGCTGTTGTGACGTCTTTCAGATATATTTTGGCATTGAAGGGAGGTAGGGGTCAAACTTGGAGACTAACTAACCTCTCCTGAAAATTGCATTTGCAATTGGTCATCTGGTTTTATGTTTGTTACGTGCTCACAAATGGATCGTGAGCACATGGTCACATGTGCCTGATAAACTGAAATAAATGAACAACCTTTTTATGGAAGTTGCTCAGCTGTTCCACCGGGGACCTCATTGGAATAAAAGACAGAAACAACATTTCTGCAATTCTGAGACACACAGTTCCTGCTCTTTGCAGCTAATAGGCATATTTTTCAAAAAGAAGCATTAAAAAGATGTTTACCTGAGTATTTTCTCAAGGACCTCAGTTAAATTTGCAATTTTAATACTCCTATGTGCCACAGATCACATCTAGCCCTAGGTGTTTCTCCCCTCAAACGGCACCACTGTGTATTGCTACCAGGCTATTATAGGATTTTCAGGTCTGATACTGCATTAATAATTGGACAACATAGTCAACAATGTGCCGGGTATCTGTTTATGAAATCTGTTGATTTTCTTTCTTCTTATGAATAATAGATAAAACACATCCGTGGAAAGCCTTTCTCCAATTTTCTTGGAACGATTATCTGATGAATTGCGGGTAATTGTGTATTACACTCAAGCAATTAAAACATCTGGTTATTGAACATGAATCTTAGGACTGAAATGAAAAACATCCATATTGACTTATGTTGTTTTTGTTCCTCTGGGATTCAATATACATTTTATATCATCCTATTAAATGTATGTTATTTATGGATATTTTATATGTGGTTTTATTTGCAAATTGCACTGCATACATTCACTTGGCATGGACTTGCACACTGTATCTTTGAAAGGCTATTATCACATCATACCTTTGTCACATATATGTAACTTTACAAGACTTGTTAGATAAGGGATAGTATTGCATAATATACTGTTTATTCCAATGCT